GGATTTAATTTCTTGCTTGTAATTTGACTTTTGCTTTCCTTAACAAAATCTCTCCAAAACCCCAACCATGTTTGATAATTTCAATCCAGTCACTAATTTCCATTGATGCACAAAATGCTGAGGGATTTAATTATTTCTCTGTTCCAGACATCTGAAGGATGTGGATTATCTAAATTTATTCATTGTAACTTCAGGTGCAGCTATCATTCAGTCAGATTTTGTCCCCTTAGTAGCCATTTTATGCTGGAAACTAGATGGGAGGGGTGAGTACCTCCTGCCAGAGTGAGATAGGACCTAGTGGCATTGTTTGGTCCTTCTTGAAAGGACCATTTTGACCCTTAGTCCTGGGAGACTCCTATTTTGCACAATTACTATTAGCTTATGGTGACCCTCAGGGATTTATAATACTTCTCATGTTATTTAAATATGAAGCTATTGGTAAATCTGTTCAACACTTTGCCACTGAGCATTGTAAGATGCAAGGCAAATATTCTAATTCTAAATCAGTGACTGATGCTGATGAGGACAAAATGCAGATATGGGGAATAAGGATTTTATCTGTATTGGAAAGCACTTCGAAAAGTCAGGTACACAGTTAAGGTAACTATTGTTTAGCCTTAATTCAGTAGTCTAGATTTTAGTGGTTGTCTAGAATATAATTTACACAACTAAGAATGATAATTCTTATTAGACCAACTTTATTTTACTGACTGGAATAAATTGCCAGTTTGCACCTATAATATCTTATCTAGCTTGAGGCCAGGATAATTGAAAGGTTATATTCTCCATTTAAGCTAACTGGTACTTTTAAGCTCTTAAGATATTTTGGTCTCATCTTCTGCACTCTCGGGGAACTGTTTAATGGGAATCTATGCTAGTTTTCCCAAAAGTTGCTCCCAGGCTTTGGAAATGTTTAGTCTGAAGGTCTTGTTAACTCCTTCTAACTCTTCTCCTTTTGCTGGCAGGTTGACCTTTGGGATGTAAATAAGCTACTGTTGAATTAGTAGGTGCTACTCTTCCCCCCTTTCTTTTAAAAACCTTGTAATCACTTGCATCCTGACACCTAAGTGGAGTTTGCAGGAGATATTTTCTCTTTGCTCCCAGAGAACGAAATACCAGCTGCTAACTAGGATCAAACTCACAGCCTCCTGATTGTTAGGTGAGAGCTCCACCTCTAGGCTACCATGCCCCTTTAGGTGCTATTTCTTTTATAATTAATACAATTAATATTTTAATTAATTATTATTTTATATTTTTATTAAGGGGATGTGGTGGCCTAGTGGTTAAGATGCTGGGCTGTTGACCAGAAGGCTGGCAATTCGAGACCGAAATACTGCATAGTAAGCTTCCATTCTTGCTCCAGTTGCTACCAACCAAGCAGTTTGAAAGCATGCAAATGTAAGTAGATAAGAGGTACCTTCGGTGGGAAGGTAACAGCATTCTGTATACCTTAGTGTATAGTCATGCTAGCCACATGACCATAGAAGCATCTTTGGACAATGCTGGCTCCTTCAGCTAGCAAATGGAGATGAGCACTGCCCACTAGAGATGGATACAACTGAATAGGGGGAACCTTTACCTTTTTTTAACCTTTGACGTCTTTTATTAAGTGGAATTGCAATGAAATTTTAAACAGACTACTTTGTTTTTTATTTTGATTTATATTGTGTTTGGCTATCTCAAGTAAGTTAAGAAGTGAATAAATCCAGAATACTGCTCTTTCCCTGTCCTTTTATTGGCCAGATAATTCAGCTACTATACTAGAATATTAGGGGTGTCAAATGATACACGTATGTGATCAACTGAATTAATATCCTATGTTCAAAAGAACAAGTGGAACCTGTTTGCTTATGATAACCAAAGCATCACTATCTAGCACAAGGTGATATCAACAGGCTTGGTGAAATACATTACCTGAAGTACAATAAACTTGGGATAGGGAGTGAAAGACCTCCAAAACTGCACAATGTGAATTAAGAGTATTCAGTTCCCGCAAATGGATTATTGAAAAGAGGTGGAAACTGAACCTGAATATTTTACTTTACAAAATTTGTGGTAGATCCTACTTGTTCCTCTGACAAATAAACTTGGGAAAAGATGACATTAAACAGTCTTTTTCTTTCTTTTCTTTTTTTTAATTTAAACAGTAAGATAAAATTACAAAAGCTTGTGAAGCAATGTCTCTATGCAGGGAAAAAATAATCCACTGAAGTAAACTCAAATTACATATGCAGCCTAGTACTAGGCATAGTTACACAAAAGTACATGTTGAGTTCTCTACCAACTCAGTGTACATAGGACTGCAGCTTTCCAAAGTAATCTCCACATTTTCTCAGAAGTTAAGTCCTATGGATCTCAATGGGAATTTAATCCCAGGTATACATGCATATGACTGCATGTTAATCATTCCCAAACAAAGCAAACAACATTGGAAATATAAGTTATCCAAAAGGAATGGTACCAAACCAAATACTGATGAAGTTGATTGAAACAGTTTTGAAATGGAACTTCATTTCTTTGTCTTTATTATAGTAGAAACATTGTAGAAGGATATTGTCTGAATACTAGAGGGGAAATGTTCTAAAAATGTTTATGTTTTTCTTATAAAAATGAAGAATTAAATTGGGTATTGTTCTAGTCAACTTTTAAAATGTAATCTCATGCAATATATGACTGTTTCAGTGAATAAGAGGCCAGAAAGAGCTTAAATTTGAATCCAAGTTTGTATTTCCCTGAAAGGTAAAATTCCTCACTTTCCTAATGGTTATGTAGGTAATGGCCTTAAAATTCAAGTAATCAGTGAACAAAGTCTCAGCAAGTGCATTTTAAAACAGCTCCATGAATATCAAAATGCCTGTTCTCACATTGATTGAGAACCTGGGACAATGGCATCAATGAAAGATGTCCCACCCTGCCAAGTATCACTGAAATGCAGTAAAAAGGAGAAAAAAAAGTGGTTCATGCATATTTGGTTATGATGAAATTTATGTAAAGAAATCCATTGTCTTTTGTGTGTGTGCGTGCACACACACACATACATGTCCCTTTGAGCCAGTCTTTATTCCTGGTGACTGCCTGGATAAGTCTATGCAGTTTTCTTGGAAAGATTTTGGAAGAGGTTTGCTATTGCCTGTTTCTTAGGGATGAGAGAGAGGGACTGTCCCATGGTCACCAATCAGCTTCTGGTCTAAGGCAAGACTAAACTAATAGCCTCTTGGTTTCTAGCCTAGTAGTGTCTTAACTACTACACCAAATTGTCCTCCCACTGTCATTAAAGGTGGCAATATATTTGCTCTCTGCATGATTTATTTCTAATATACTTTCAGGTTAAAACAATTTTGATTTTTTACTTTACATTTTAGTGTAACTCTATGCAGAGATCTGTCAATTTAGGTAACCCCAACTGGTATATAGTTTGTACAGCATATAGTTTTTTTAATCTTTCATACAAGAAAACCAAATTTTTGGAAACTAGGCTTTAATTAGCCATGATTTTGATCTTATGTCCTGGTAAGATTCAGACTCTGTGGGTAATTTTGGTAGATTGGTAAATTGGTAAACTGATCTAACATTGTTCTAATTCATGCTGCTTTGTATTCACTTTAAAACTGCTTCATAATTTGGGATGAGGAACATTATATCAAGTTAAAAAGATATAAATGCAATAAATAAATCTTGCTTTGGGTGCCAGACTTTGAAAGCCTAGTACATCTATAAGTTTCAACTCAATTCAGAATAGAGCTTGAAGGGACCTTGGAGGTCTTCTCATCCAACTCCCTGCTCAAGCAGCAGACCCTATATCATTTCAGACAAGTGGCTGTCCAGGCTCTTTTTAAAAACCTCCTGTGATGAAGACCCAAAACTTTTGAAGGCAAGACATTCTACTGGTTAGTTGTTCTCACTGTTAGGAAGTTTCTCCTTAATTCCAGTTGCTTCTCTCCTTGATTAATTTCCATCCATTACTTCTTGTCCTGCTCTCTGGTGCTTTGGAAAGTAAGTTGACCCCCTCTTTTTTGTGGTAGCTCCTCAATTACTGGAATCCTTCTTTTCTCTAGACTAGCCACACCCAAATTCTAGGTAGTCAATTGGGTTTCCTGCTGTTGCTCTTATTGTGGTCTGTTACAATGCAAGCGATATCACTGCAGTAATCTTTTATTGCCATGGGATTGATTAACAGATTTATATGAATTTTTCATACTGATTGTGACATGTTGCAATTTTGTTTTGAATATTAACAGAAAGAAGAGAAACAATTTGTAGGAAGGGAAAATAAATAATACCATAAATGTATTGGAAATAATACTATTTCATTATAAGTAGTAGTCAAATGAAGCAGCTAAATCTGCTAAATTACACATGACTAATCTCTGTTATGGTCACTGATGTGGCTTGTTGTAAAACCTGAGATGGCCTTGAATGGGTAGCCACGGGGCAGTTGTTAAGAGTCTCAGAATGGCAAAGAAAAAAATTGTGGAAATGGGTGAACCAAGAGTGGCGTCTGGAAAAGGCAACCATGGCGTTATTGCCAGGAATGGCCTTATCATAGAACTGAATAAGTCTGCTTGAATTAACCAGTCCAGATGGGCAGATGGGAGAGTAGCTTTCAGTGTCTTTACTTTACATTTCAGGCACAACAGTGCATTTAGGCCATTACTGTTTCAAAGTCCTAGGGCCGTGGTGGCGAACCTATGGCACGGTGCCAAAGGTGGCACGCAGAGCCTTCTCTGTGGGCGTGCGCACCGTCGCCCCAGTCCTAGGCCTTCAGCTGGGTTTTATAAAACCTTTTCGCTTTAGGCCTCTGCCGCTATGTGGAAAAAAAAAAAAGGTTCAATCAATCAATCAATTTCAACTTCTCACAGGAAAAAAAAGATCTCGCAAAGTTGGAATTGATTGATTGAATTTTTAGTCCCACCCAGTCTGCCGTTACCACTGAAGCCATGCCCACCCAATGGGCCACACCCACCCAATGGGCCATGTCCACCTAGTGGGCCACACCCATCTGTCACCCAACGATACATAAGTCGGTTTTGGGTTGCAGTTTGGGCACTCGGTCTCTAAAAGGTTCGCCACCACTGTCCTAGGGTCTGAAGCTATCTGAGCCTTCTGGGACTATGAAGCCACTAAGGAGGGAGCCACTTGATTTGCAGCAAGTCACTCAGTTCAAATGCCAAGGCATGGGCCAGAATCAAGAGAATGTAGTTGATATATCAACACAAAGTGCTACAACTGGTTCAACAAAACCTGCACAAGTTTACAATGCAAAAAAAGGAAGCGCCAATTCCTGTACATAGCTGAATATTGTGCATTCTATGATATTATCTAGAAAAGTCTTACCCATGGCAGTCATCACAGGGTTCAGGGTCCCCTATGGTATATATGTCATGGGCACCAGTAATATTTAGCAGTTCTCATCAGTATTAAGTGTTAGACAGTTTTACACACTGAGAACTGCTTCCACGTATCAAAGCTGAGAACAGATAATAGGTTGGAAAATTAGTCCAGTTTTTAGAGATTTGTATTTCAAAGTGTAAATGGCCTTCATAAAAAATGCTGCATTCAGAGAGAAAAAGAAATCCGTGCCTAGGGCATTTGAGCGGTAATGTTGGTTCCACACATCCAAGTTATCAGGGGAGGAGTGTAGACTTCAGTGGTCTGCCGAAACTTGCTTGTGGGCATGTGCTCTTAAGAGGTGCTGTAAATCCACTTCATGTGCATTCAGCATGACTATGAGCTAGAATATTCCAGCATGGACAAACTCTGAAATAGCTTGTAAGAATACCTCTATAGCTGCAAAGTTCACAGTCCCACTATGTGCATGAATGTACATTCGAAGTATAAAAAATGGCAGATATGCTATACGCCCAAACAGTTTAAAAAATATACCCTATTTCATTTGTAAACTATCAATGCAGGATACCCAGCAGCATAGAAGCTGTGTTCCATGTCTTCTGTTGTCCTAAAAAGATTAGTATCTGTTGCCATTTATATAATTGTCACAAACATTTGAGGTTACATGTAGAAATAATCAAGGCAAGAATAATTTTGTACATATTGTTAAACATGCAAAAACTTCCTGAAGAATATTGCCCAAAGGTCAAAAATCTTTTGGAACCTCAAATTCTCCTTGGTAGCATTTGTTTTTGCAAGTATGGCTAACTCTTGATCTGGAAGTCTTTCCATTTATTTTGGAGAAGCAGCACCTTTAATAACGGGTTCCCTGTTCAAATATGTGGCCCAATAAACTAAATTAAATGTTCCAAATAAGACAGGGAAAACTATTCGGGACATTTTGTCAATCTTACTGATGCTGTTATACGTCTTTTTGTTTTCAGCTGGTTTCTCAATGGGTATGGCTGGAGCAGAAACAGAGTTGGAGATGACTGAAGGGGTGGAGTCCTTTGGTATGTTTAATGTGGGTGTCATCTTTCCAGCAGTATAGGTGTTGATGGCTTTATTTGCCATTAATTCACGTTCTTTTTTCTGAAAAACACACAACAACAACAACACATTAGCAAACTATAATTTTTAAAAACAGATGCTTGGGTCATTAAAAATGAGCTTTATACAGAGTCCCTACAATCTTTGGTTATACTATATATACTATTCATTGGATTATTATCGTTGTAATTTACAGCATCCTAGTTTATTAAACAGGTAAATGTTTTCCCATTCTGCTAGCATGATGTGGAAGAATATAAATGTCCAAACAGGTTATGGAGAAAAAAAAAATTCAACAGGATGTTTACAAAACTTGTGACATTCTGTTCCCCCCTTGATATTTAATAATTTATTTCTTCAAGGAGTTGTAATAGCCACCTTTTTTTTTGCAGCCTCCAAAGCTTTTTTGCCATCCCAGGCCCAGCTTCTTTTGGTAAAATAGTTGACTGTAGCAAATTCAATCAGGGCAGAAAAGACAAAGGCATAGCATACAGCGATAAACCAATCCATTGCGGTAGCATAAGCCACTTTGGGTAGAGAGTTACGGGCACTGATGCTTAAGGTTGTCATTGTAAGAACTGTGGTTACTCCTTTAAAAAAGAGAGAGAAAGAAAAAGATATTTAGAAATTACCTAAAATTTATTTATTTATTTTTTATTTAGCGTATGGTGATGTTACATTAGTCAGGAGTCTATAATGCTAATAGAGTAGTAGTTTGGCTGCCTAACTACTAGCTAGCTCTGTTTGGTTTATACTCACATGCTTTCGAAAGTGCATCACAGGCATTAAGCTAGCTCTTCACAAGAAAGAAAGACAAACAGCTTTCCTGTATTGTTATCCATTGTTCTCCCTCCACCCAAGCCTCCTTGCAAATGGGCATCACAAGCAGGAAGGTCCAGCATCAGCAGGATTCTAACCGTCCGCATGAAGAGCCAGCTCGTCTTTCCACTGAAGTTATCTACTCACGTAGAACATACTTTCAAACTGCCAAGTGGGCAGAAGCTGAGGTGAGTAATGGGAGGTCACCCACTATTGAATGCTAGGACTTGAACTGCAGGAGTAAAGATCATCTCCAATATTATTAAGTCACTAAACCCCCATGTCTCAATGTTACCTGCAATGTGTAATATGTAAAACTTTTTCAGATTGGTCATCTTCAAAGTGAATTTGTAGAGGGAATAACCTTGAAGGACTATGGAAAGTTTGGCTACCAAGACAACAAGACAGATAATGATGGTTTAAGTCAATTCCAAGAAACTAATTTGAGAAACCCCTCAGACAGACCCCTCTCTAATAAATATGAAGATAAAGTAAAGGAGGAGAGAAGCAAACTCAAGACTTGCAGGATTCCATTACTATACCGCATACTGTCTGTTTCTTAGTCTGTTGTATCTTGTAGGGCAGATAGAATGCTTCCTATTACATACTAACCTGTCCCCAGGAAGGATTAAATGGCTTGCCTAAAGTATCCAAGCAGGGAGATTGTATCTAATTAAGTGCAGTCACATGGGGAAAAGAAGCTAGAAATTCTGCTATATGCTCCAAAATAACTGGAGGGTACTAACTTGGAAAAGACTGATGTAAGTGATGTATAGATAGCTAACTGGACAAAAATGACTACTACATTCAACTTGCATAGTTGAATGTTGCATTATCATTTCTGTAACAGTATGTGGGAATGACCTTGGGAGAGTGGGCCCAGAGACACCACATAGGGAACAGTCAGATAAGAGACAGTATAGACCACAGCTGTACTGGGGGGGGGGGGCAAGAGATTCAGAAGAGACCCTCCCTAATTTCTCAGATGTAAGGAAGAGAGAGGAATTCTACTTTCAGACTTATAAGATTCTGTTAATGTAGCCTAATGTAGAATTAACTCATCTGATTGTGTTTCCTATCTGCCATCTGACTGACAGTTCTGTAACCTGGTTGTTGAAATGAATACCTGGAATTTAGTCTTATTGATAGCTTGGTTTCTCAAGTAATCCTCATCAGACCACAAACTAATTAATATACATTATCCTTCTAGTGGCTCTCTAATAACACACAGTTTTATTCTATTCTGCAACCTACATTGTTCTACATTTCAACTTTTCTATGAAGAAAAAGAAAAGCAGGTAAAGTACCAGATGTATATTGATTCACAGTATCTAGAGTTACTTTTCATTTTGTATCTTCCTTAAGGGGAAAGAAGAAAGAAGTGATAAAGTGCTTGGATTGGGTACAGGTGCAGGGGGAATTTACTGTCAGGAAGAATTAAGCATCGCCTCTTTCTTGAGAGATTCTGTTGCAAAGGAAATTAGGTTTGGAAATCCCAGAATAAAGGATCTTTTAAGGATGAAGGAGAGTACTTACCAAATACTGTTCGAGCAGGGACAGATTCTCTGTTTAACCAGAATGATACTTGTGATAAGATTACTGTCATAATGCAGGGAAGGTAAGTCTGGATGACAAAATAACCAATTTTCCTTTTCAGATGAAAATGCGCCCTCATTATAGTGTATTCCCCTAGGTAGGAGAAAATAAAGATGTAACTTAGCAAGAAAAAACAGAATTATTAACTCCTTCCATTTAAGTAGTTTCTCCACAAGCCAGTTCAGCAGTCCTAGAATAGCCCAAACAGAATATTGATTTGAGGATGTATCAGCCACTAAGCTGCATACTAGCAAATGGCTGGGGACTGGAGATTGATTCTCAAGATCCGTTTTTCGTCTTCCCAAAAGTTAAATATGATCTTATTTCTAAGCCTTGAGATCACAGGCCTTCTATCCAAGCTTCATAAATACTCCATACCAGAGGCTCTGACTTGCTACTTGCATATTTGTCAACAAGAACACTGACTTCTATAGCCTTTGCCAGCCTGCATGTTACAGTCCACTGATGAGGCTGGGCAGTGGTTCTTTTTAATGCCATGACCCCCAACCGGTCATAAGTCGAGGACTACTCAACTGGTCGTAAGTCAAGGACTACTCAACTGGTGCAGCACCGTTTGCAGAATGGGACTTTTGGCGGGCTCAGCAGGGCAGAGACAGCCTGGACAATTCCTATTGGCTTTTGAAAGCCAATAGAATTAGACTCTATTCAAGAGAGTCTATTCTATTGGCTTTCAAAAGCCAATAAAATAAAAAGGAGTAGCACAGCTAAGGAAAAGGGGAAAAAAATGGCAGACTGCATTGTTTGGCGACCCTCGTGAAATGGTCATTCGACCCCAAATGGGGTCCCGACCCACAGGTTGAGAACCACTGGGCTGGGGGAAAGGTTTCCACGAAAGAGCTTCTTTAAATGAAGATGCCATACGGATTCTTTATGATGAAAGACAACACAGCTCATGGAGAGTCTGTATTCCACTGTAGCACATGCCTAGCAGCAAGCCAATCAGCGCTGCCGGCATCTCTCTGCATGGGGCAGAAGATCATTGTGTTAGTGACATTACATGTTAAGACTCCTTGTAGATGTACTGCCCCAAGAAATCATTTCAAGGGCACCCATTTGAGAAACATGACAATTCCAGGGAAATGTTTTTTCCCTTATAATTGTATAGCCGCATGGAATGCAGGCAGCTATTGTGAACTGGTGTTAAAGAAAGCTAACTATTTAGACATTTGTTCTCTTGTGCAAGTTCTGGAAGACCAGATTAATCCCATTTTTTTCCTCTACATCCAACAGAGACAAGAAAATGCAATGATTTACTAAAGCTGGGCAAATATTTTAAAAGAGTGTTTTGCAATGGAGGAGGGAAGTGTTTCTTATTAGAAAATAAGAAAAAAATATATTATGCAAATATTCTTTTGCACACAACTCTTTGGTGGATCAACAACCTCTTGGGCTTCAACTGGCCCACTGGAGAATCACCCCTTCCCAGCCAGCTGTGAGCTTCTGTTCCTCCATGGCCACTACAGCTTTGGCTGCTGGAGAAAGCAGAATCTTACTTGATAAGGTTTATTTTTTTCCAAAACTATTGTGCCTCTCCATTTATGTATTGTATAAATAAGGGAATGGGCTTCATTGGCTTCTGCCTATGCGTAAGGTACATACAAACCATTTCACTGCCCTAAGTTATATCCATCAAAACTAGCCATGGTATAATAGGCTGGGAGAATAACCTTGGGAGACAGGAGGAAGAGTTGCTGCCTAGACAATGGTCTAATAAAAAACATCAGAGTCTAAAGGAGGGAGAAAGTGGAGAAAATATTTCAGGGGCTTCCCTAGTTCTCTGGAAAGTAAAGATAGGAGAAGAATGCTTTCACGCTTTCAAGATAGCAATAATAGCACTTAGACCAGTGGTGGATTCAAATATGTAAACAACCGGTTCTCTGTGTGGAAGTCCATTCTGGGCCTGGGCAACAAAAAATTAGCTACTGGTTCTGCCAAAGTGATGCGAACTGGCTGAATCCCACCACTGACTTAGACTTATATACTGCTTCATAGTGCTTTATTTACAGCCCTCTCTAAGTGGTTTACACAGTCAGCATATTGCCCTCAACAATCTGGGATTTCAGATTCTGTTACTATAACCTTATAATAAATGTATTAGTATTAGTACTTATGGTTTTGGATCCTATCTGTATTACTGCATCTCAAAGAACTGACATAATGGAAAGGAAGGGTGAGCAGGGTCATGGTGACTGTAGTACGAGAGTTGGCTGCAGCCATTCTGCATGTTGCAGTCCGGTGATTGACACCAAGTCTATTTTTCTACACAGTCTGTTTTTGTACAACTGAGGTACAAAAGCACTACCACAGCCCGAATAACAGCATCAGTATCTACTTCATTAGATGATGGCAGCTTATACTTAACATGGTAAGAGCAATGCTATGAAGACCACACTTTATATACTTTCAACCTGCCTTGAGGATGGAAGAAAGCAAATTTTCAAGTTTGCCCAAATAAACCCTTTATTAAACGGATTAAATCATTAAAGCAGCCCCCTTTTTTTGTAAAAGTTTTATTAATTTTTTATGATAATAACCTGGTGTGCAGCATGTTGTCTTGGTTGATAATTTTTTTTACAATCAATAATAGTTAATTAACAGTCAATAATAATTAATTTTTATATTTCCATAATTAGTATATTAATTGATAATATATTTCCTTGATCTTCTCTTCTCCCAATAGTATTCTCCTTCTTCAGCATTAAACAATAATTTTTGGTATTTAATATTATCCATATATAAATGATTAAATAAAACATTTTCATCTATATTTATACCAACAATAATAATGTCCATATATAGCATTAATTTTCTTGTCAACATGTTATGTTCGTAAAAGTCATTTATTAAGTCATCATATATCTTATTTTCATAAATCTTGTTTAAAACTCAATTTCTCCATAATATTCAAACAATTCTTATCAATCATAATTTTCTCAATAATTAACAGCTAAATATCCAAATTTTCCACTTAAATATATCATCCCAGTATTTTCACATTTCATATATTATAGAAATACTATAGTACTTATCTATCATAACATCTACCTATAACATCTTTTCTAATCAATTTATATTTCACTTCTATTTGTAAAAAATAATTAAATCACTATATATCCTTTTTTCAAAATTCTTATTAAGCCTAATTTCCCCACAATATTTCAGTCTTTCCTTAATCCTAAATCTTTTCAAACTTGTCTTTAAAATTCAAACTATTCCTTCACTTTCATCATCCCAATATTTTTACATTTTGTGTCTTATCAAAAATATCATATTACTTATATCTCTTATTCCACTTATTCTAAAGCCCCTTTATGGCCAAAGTTATTTGTTCATTTAGCCATATTCAAACAAGTGTTTGCTCGTATAATATTCCATCTGGTAGGGCGAATCAAGTCTCTAATCTTCTTTCTTTGCCAAATTGTTTTCCAAATTAATATTTTTGACTTGTCAAACAGTTCTTGTATTTTTGTAGTTGTTGTTAGGCGTAGAGGATACATAATATGTATGATGTATGCTTTTTGACTCCCAAATAGTGATTCTCCTAGCAGTGTTCATTTTGTTAAGTCTTCTTTCTTCTCAAGTTTATTCTAATATATAAGGTATCTTTTCCATATTTATTGTTGTATCCAAATCTTGTGAAGTTTTTCTTGTTTGTATTAAGATATAGTTCCCTTCATTTGTGACTTCACCAATTAAGTCATTTTTTTCTAGTTCACATTCTGTTATTTGATTTGTTTGTTCATTCTTTACCATCATTCTTTGAATGTTTTTTAATTGTAGATTTAAATTAGAAGTATATTCCTTTATGTTATCAAAGTTATGCTTAATCTCCTCATGGTTTAGAGCTATTGTGATCTGTATCTGTCATAGCATTGCATAAATGTCTTTTTGAAAAGTATTTGTCTTGTCTTGAAATGTTGTTTCTAGAGGTCTTTGATCTTTCCTTCTGAATCCTTCAAGAATAGATATTAAGTATGGCTTTCTATCATTTTTAATGAATATGTCATATCCATGTTGTCTTCCCTTTTCGAGTAATCCATCATAAGTGCCATAGTCTCTGTAATTAGCCTTGTCAAGATGGCCAAAACTCAAAATCCAAACAGTCCAATTTTATATAGTTCTTGTCTTTATATATAATTTTTATAATCCACTATAATTTTCAATTGTCAAGGTTTCAGTAAAATCAATGTTTTATAGCAATTCTTTCTTTCAGGAGTCAATTGTCAATTGTCAACCAGTCAGAATTGCAATTCAGTATATTTAGCCACCTTAAATCCTTCCTGTAACTTTCCCTCTCAAAATTTAGTCATAGATCAAAGTTTTTAAACAATGCATAAGTTTAGGCTACAATCAAAATATTTCTTTTCCTTCAAACACTTTCCAATCTTATGGCTGGCCCAGTATACAATCTCTTATTTGTCCCCTGACAAGTATCTTCTTAAAGGTTATTAGAGTTCATGGGAACAGATTTTTCTTTGTTTCTGGGCATTTTCTTTAATGTGCTATATTCTAGTTGTCCACTAGATATCAGCAAATATTTATTTTCCAGCTCTTTCAGGCAAGAAGTTCTTATTATTTTTCTTTTCTTTTTTTATAATTTCATCAAAATCCTTTAGAATATAATCTTAGCAGTTTGTTTTAGTTTCTAAGTTTGATCAGATTGTAGTAGTTTAAATTTAATTTCAATATGTTTTTTCCTCTTTAAAGGTTAATTCGCCACTTCCATCTATGGGAGAATGGGAATGTAGTCCCCTTCCCTCACTTTCAGAGGTTTTTTGCTTTGGGGATCTTTCCCAGGGACTTAGTTGCAAAATAAGGGAGAGAAGATCAAATACTCTCACCAATTCCAAGCATGCTGTTCACCGTTGTTCTTGTTAGTGCTCTTGGGCTTCTCAGATACAGGTAGCTTGGGCTAGACGCTGACAAGTGGCTAGCATTTCTCCTGTCGGGTTCGAAGTGCTTTCCCTGGATCAAATGAAGCAATTGCTGTCGCTTTGTGATCAATGGGGCACCCCTCCTTCACGATTCTTTGAGGCGACTTCGGACCCATCTAGAGTCCCTCTGGCAGGGTA